TTTTCCGCCCGACAAAAAATACACAGATCATCCTGCTCATGCTTAAATTTACATGCTGAATAGTTAAGCGCCTCTTTAACGACGGCGCGTAGCAACAGTCACTAAGGAAGCGCCGCCTGACCCGGAACCAGTTCTCAAGAGCGACGCTCTGTTCCTGTTCCGAGCAGCAGGAGCGGGTCTCAGCTCCGCTGTGTTTTCCCAATCCCGGGTTTGAGCCTCGGCGGCAATCGGCTCTTTCTTTCCGCGTCGTCTCCGGAGACGAGATGGCGGATTGCCCGTTGGGTCTGGAGAGCGAGCTCCACGCCTTCATGGAGGTGTTGCTGCGATCGATCGTGTACGAGGTGTCGGAAGTTTTCCGGAACGGGATGGCCGACGCCGAGGACAAGTTTCAGAGCAAACTCCGGGGCATCTCGCAGGTCCTGGTGAGACGGGCGGTGGTGAAGATCACCCAGTTCGTCGAGGACAGTGTCGGGGGCGAAATCGCGCAGCTGAAGAGGGAAAACGAGAGGCTGAAGGTGAGATTGCGGTTCTGGGAGAAGGAGCAGGGAGCAGGAGGAGATCGGGGACAGACAGATCGTGATGGACACACGCTTCCCTGTGAAGCCCCTGCAGGGATAAAGGAAGAAACGGACACAGAACTGGAGCTGTCAGGTCAGTGAGGTGACTTCTGTGAAATAACAGTGCTTTGTGTGTTTAAAACCAGTATCTTGAACGTCCTCACTGGTGACAATCCAGTGCAGAGATGCAGAGTGACGTGGGAGAGACCCGTGTGATGTAGCGACAGGATTCTGGACCGGAAACCACAGCTTTTGTTTTCCCTCCGGTTGTGGTGCTGGGAACATCTGTAATACAGCAACAGGGCTGAAGACTGTTCAGCCTTCAGTTATTGTGGACCTGAATCAATTTTGTGTCATGTGGCGTCGTCATATGCTTATACTTACAAATACTTGTCAAGAATTTGATTTGCTCTTGGTTCAATTGCGGACCTGGTGTGCGATCTGCGTGCCTTTGGTATGTTATGGACACACTGGTTTCCTACGGGTGTTCCGG